CTCACAGCAGATCTCTCAGCAGAAACACTACAAGCCAGAAGAGAGTGGGGGCCAATATTCAACATCCTTAAAGAAAAGAACTTTCAACCCAGAATTTCATATCCAGCCAAACTGAGCTTCAGAAGTGAAGGAAAAATAAAATCCTTTGCGAACAAGCAAGTACTCAGAGATTTTGTCACCACCAGGCCTGCTTTACAAGAGCTCCTGAAAGAGGCACTACACATTGAAAGGAACAACCAGTACCAGCCATTCCAAAATCACACTAAATGCTAACGAGCATCAACATAATGAAGAATCTACAACAACTAATGGGCAAAACAGCCAGCTAGCATCAAAATGGCAGTATCAAATTGACACATAACAATATTAACCCTAAATGTAAATGGACTAAATGCACCAATCAAAAGACACAGACTGGCAAATTGGATAAAAATCCAAAACCCATCAGTGTGCTGTATCCAGGAAACCCATCTCACATGCAAGGATACACAAAGGCTCAAAATAAAGGGATGGAGGAAGATTTACCAAGCAAATGGAGAGCAAAAAAAAAGCAGTAGTTGCAATTCTCATCTCTGATAAAATAGACTTTAAAGCAACAAAGATCAAAAGAGACAAAGAAGGCCATTACATAATGGTAAAAGGATCGATACAACAAGAAGAGCTAACGATCCTAAACATATATGGACCCAATATAGGAACACCCAGATACATAAGGCAAGTTCTTAATGACTTACAAAGAGACTTAGACTCCCACACAATAATAGTGGGAGACTTTAACACCCCACTGTCAATATTAGACAGATGAACCAGACAGAAAATCAACAAGGATATCCAGGGCTTGAACTCAGACCTGGAACAAGCAAACCTGATAGACATTTACAGAACTCTCCACCCCAAATCCACAGAATATACATTCTTCTCAGCACCACATCACACCTACTCTAAAATTGACCACATAATTGGAAGTAAAGCACTCCTCAGCAAATGCAAAACAAATGAAATCATAACAGTCTCTCAGACCATAGTGCAATCAAGTTAGAACTCAGAATTCAGAAACCAACCCAGAACCGCACAGCTTCATGGAAACTGAACAACTGGCTCTTGAATGTTGACTGGATAAACAATGAAATAAAGGCAGAAATAAAGAAGTTCTTCAAAACCAATGAGAACGAAGACACAACATGCCAGAATCTCTGGGACACACTTAAAGCCGTCTCTAGAGGAAAATATATAGCAGTAAGTGTCCATATGAGGAGAATGGAGAGATCCAAAATTGACACCATATCGTCAAAATTGAAAGAGCTAGAGGAGCAAGATCAAAAAAACTCAAAACCCTGCAGAAGACAAGAAATAACTAAGATCAGAGCTGAACTGAAGGAGATAGAGACACGAAAAACCCTTCAAAAAATCAATAAATCCGAGAGCTGGTTTTTTGAAAAGATCAACAAAATAGACCACTAGCCAGATTGATTAAAAAGAAAAGACAGAACAACCAAATAGATGCAATAAAAAATGATAAAGGGGAAATCACCACAGATTCCACAGAAATTCAAACCATCATCAGAGAATATTACAAACAACTCTATGCACATAAACTAGTAAACCTGGAAGAAATGATTAAATTCCTGGACTCCTGTGTCCTCCCAAGCCTAAACCAGGAGGAAGCTGAAACTATGAATAGACCAATAACAAGGTCAGAAGTCGAGGCAGCAATTAAGAGCCTACCACACAAAAAAAGCCCAGGTCCAGATGGGTTCACAGCCGAATTCTACCAGACACACAAAGAGGAGCTGGTACCATTCCTTCTGAAACTATTCGAAACAATCCAAAAAGAGGGAATCCTTCCCAAATCATTTTATGAGACCAATATCATCCTGATACCAAAACCTAGCAGAGACCCAACAAGAAAAGAAAACTTCAGGCCAATATCCATGATGAACATAGATGCAAAAATCTTCAATAAAATATTGGCAAGCCAATTGCAACAGCAAATCAAAAAACGTATCCATCATGATCAAGTAGGATTCATCCCGGGGATGCAAGGCTGGTTCAACATACGCAAGTCTATAAACGTAATTTACCACATAATCAGAACCAAAAACAAAAACCACATGATTATCTCAATTGACGCAGAGAAGGCATTCGACAAAATTCAACAGCCCTTTATGCTAAAAACCCTCAATAAACTCGGTATCGATGGAACGTATCTCAAAGTAATAAAAGCTATTTATGACAAACCAACAGCCAATATCATACTGAATGGGCAAAAACTGGAAGCATTCCCTTTGAAATCCGGCACTAAACAAGGATGCCCTCTTTCACCACTCCTATTCAATATAGTACTGGAAGTTCTAGCCAGAGCAATCAGGCAAGAAAAAGAAATAAAGGGTATTCAGATAGGAAAGGTGGAAGCCAAATTGTCTCTATTTGCAGACGACATGATAGTATACCTAGAAGACCCCATCGCCTCAGCCCAAAAACTCCTGAAACTGATAAGCAACTTCAGCAAAGTCTCAGGATATTTAATCAAAGTGCAAAAATCACAAGCATTCCTCTACACCAATAACAGACTTAAAGAAAGCCAAATCAAGAACGAACTGCCATTCACAATTGCTACAAAAAGAATAAAATACCTAGGAATACAACTCACAAGAAACGTAAGGGACCTCTTCAAGGAAAACTACAAACCACTGCTCAACGAAATAAGAGAGGACACAAACAGATGGAGAAACATTCCATGTTCATGGTTTGGAAGAATTAATATCGTGAAAATGGCTATACTGACCAAAATAATTTACAGAATCAACGCTATCCCCATCAAGCTACCATTGACTTTCTTCACAGAACTGGAAAAAACCACCATGAACTTCATATGGAACCAAAAGAGAGCCCGCATAGCCAAGTCAATTCTAAGCAAAAAGAACACAGCGGGGGGCATCACACTACCGGATTTCAAACTATACTATAAGGCTACAGTAATCAAAACAGCATGGTACTGGTACCAAAACAGAGATATAGACCAATGGAACAAAACAGAGGCATCGGAGGCAACACAACATATCTACGACCATACAATCTTTGATAAACCTAACAAAAACAAGCAATGGGGAAAGGATTCCCTGTTTAATAAATGGTGTTGGGAAAACTGGCTAGCCATGTGCAGAAAGCAGAAACTGGACCCCTTCCTGACAACTTACACTAAAATTAACTCCAGATGGATTAAAGACTTAAACATAAGACCTGGCACGATAAAAACCCTAGAAGTAAATGTAGGCAAAACCATCCAGGACATAGGAGTAGGCAAGGACTTCATGAACAAAACACCAAAAGCATTGGCAACAAAAGCCAAAATAGACAAATGGGACCTAATGAAACTCCACAGCTTCTGCACGGCAAAAGAAACAATCACTAGAGTGAATCGGCAACCAACAGAATGGGAAAAAATGTTTGCAGTTTACCCATCTGACAAAGGGCTGATATCCAGAATTTACAAAGAACTCAAACAGATTTATAGGAAAAAAACAAGCCCATTCAAAAATGGGCAAAGGATATGAACAGACACTTTACAAAAGAAGACATATATGAGGCCAACAATCATATGAAAAAATGGTCATCATCACTGGTCATCAGAGAGATGCAAATCAAAACCACATTGAGATAGCATCTCACACCAGTCAGAATGGCGATCATTAAAAAATCTGGAGACAACAGATGCTGGAGAGGATGTGGAGAAAAAGGAATACTTTTACACTGTTGGTGGGAGTGTAAATTAGTTCAACCATTGTGGAAGACAGTGTGGCAATTCCTCAAGGCCTTAGAAAGAGAAATTCCGTTTGACCCAGCAATCCCATTACTGGGTATATATCCAAAGGACTATAAATCGTTCTACTATAAGGACACATGCACACGAATGTTCATTGCAGCACTGTTTACAATAGCAAAGACCTGGAATCAACCCAAATGCCCATCAATGATAGACTGGATTGGGAAAACGTGGCACATATACACCGTGGAATATTATGCAGCAATCAGAAATGATGAGTTTGTGTCGTTTGTAGGGACATGGATGAATCTGGAGAACATCATTCTCAGCAAACTGACACAAGAACAGAAAATGAAATACCACATATTCTCACTCATAGGCGGGTGATGAAAAATGAGAACACATGGACACAGGGAGGGGAGTACTAAACACTGGGGTCTATTGGGGGGAAAAGGGGAGGGCCAGCGGGGGGGGGGGAGCTGGGGAGGGATAGCCTGGGGAGAAATGCCAAATGTGGGTGAAGGGGAGAAAGGAAGCAAAACACACTGCCATGTGTGTACCTACGCAAATGTCTTGCATGTTCTGCACATGTACCCCCAAACCTAAAATGCAATAAAAAATTTTAAAAAAAATTAAATAGATAAATACAAAACTTAGCCAGGTTTGGTGGTACACGCCTTTAGTCCCAGCTACTCGGGAGGCTGAGGCAGAATCGCTTGAACCCAGGAAGGTGGTGGTTGCAGTGAGCCGAGATCATGCCACTGCACTCCAGCCTGACAACAGAGCAAGACTTCACTCCAGCGGAATGGTCTTCTGGAAGGGAAACAAATGAGAACTAGACAGCATGGACAGGGGTGAGGATAATTTACTACATGTCATTTTTAATACTTGCTGATTTTGAACCACTTGAATATATTACCTATTTAAAAAGTAAATTTAAAGATAAAAAGAAATTTTGCAGAATTCAGGGAGACAATGTTTACAATAAAAGCAAGATTTAAATAAATATGTGCATATTGATTATTACAACTGGGAAATGTGTGTGCATTTATGCAAAGAATATAAAGGAAGACAGAAAATCAAGAATTTCTGTGCTAGGCTAATGAAGCTTTTTGGTATTCCTGTAGTTGTACTAATGTTTGTAAAAACGTTAACTGAAAGGCAGTTAACAAAGTAAAATAAATAAATACAAATAATGGATAGAAATTAAAATTAAATACATCTTGTTCCACCTCAGCCAGGGATGCCACCCTCATGTGTGAGCCCAGGACCCTGAACATGCGGCCAGCCCCTTTGACCTCGGAAGAATTTAAACACGTGGGACTCACTGCGGCTGTTCTGTCAGCACATACCCAGAAGGAAGAGCAGAATTATGTTGATAAATTCCGAGAAAAGATCCTGTCATCACCCTATAGTTCCTATCTTCAGCAAGAAAGCAGGAGCAAAGCTAAATATTCATATTTTCAAGGTAGGTGAGTTTTTAAAAATAAATGCCATTGGCCAGGCATGGTGGCTCATGCCTGTAATCCCAGCACTTTGGGAGGCTGAGGCAGGCAGATTACAGGGTCAAGGAATCAAGACCATCCTGGCCAACATGGTGAAACCCCGTCTCTACTAAAATAAAAAATTAACAGGATGTGGTGGCGGGCACCTGTAGTCCCAGCTACTTGGGAGCCTAAGGCAGGAGAATTGCTTGAACCCAAGAGGTGGAGGTTGTGGTGAGCTGAGATCCCGCCACTGCTCTTCAGCCTGGTGACAGGGAGACTCCGTCTCAAAAATAAATAAATGCCATCAATCTGTGTAGATGTTATAAATTATATCTAAGGACTCAAAGATAAGGAGTGAACAATAGGAGTTTTACTTGTAAGAAACTGATGGGGAGATGCTGAAACAATCTGTTTATATCAGCAATTTCTCTAGGCCCTTTCTTAGATCCTGTATCTGAGAAACTGTCTTTTCATGAGAAACTGATCAAGAGATGCTGAAATAAGTTTACTCGATAGCAATGATTTTTACCCGGAATTTTGTTTGTCTTTTTTAGAGCCACTTTTTGCCATTCTGGTAGTATTGGTAAATGGGCATTCCTTTGTCAGCTCTTTATAAAGTACCTGTAAATGGCATCCTTTTCTTCTTTTTGGGTTTAATTTTCCATAATTTGCTTCTGCCTTTATCCTTCCAGGAGATTCGACTTTCAAGCAGACTTGGTCGGCCTGCTGCAGGAAACGGAAGCACAAGCGGAAGAAGATGCTGGAGCCACCGGGCAGCAGCAGCTCGAACGCAGGCTCCGGTCACCGCAGGGGAGCGCATCTGAACGCACAGCCCTGCTGCCCCTCCGTGGCCTCTTCTCCACACTCCTCAGGCCCAACCTTCCCACTTGCTGCCATGGTACCCAGCCAGGCCCCTTATCTCGTCCCGGCGTTTCCCCTCCCAGCTGTGACCTGTCCCGGAAGAGAATATGCCGTTCCCGGAACTGCACCGGAAGTCCTGCCTGGGCCATCCTCATCCAAGGACCAGCAGACTTGCCTAGGTTTCCCTTCTCCTTGCTTGGATACTTTTATGACCGTTTTCCTGCCTGACCCCTCTGTCTGCCCTCTGTTGTCTCCATCGTTCTTTCCATGTCCATTCCTGGGGGAGACAGCCTCTTCTGCAATATTACCCTCAATGTCAGCAATGACTCCAAACCTGGACCCACCCCCTTCAGTCACCAACCAAAGGAGAGAGGAGGAAAAGTGGGAAGCACAAAGAAAGGGGCACCCATTCATTTCCTCAAGGAGCAGTTCGCCCTTGCAGTTAAACTTACTTCAGGAAGAGATGCCCAGACCCTCTGAATCTCCAGATGAGATGTGCCCACAAGCTGAGTATGTAAGTGATGCTCATTTTCAACACTCAAATGACAAAGTAAATAACTTTACTAAAGTTAAGGTGCTTGCGTTGGGACTCAGTGCTGACATCCTCAGTGGGTAATCCGCATGGCTACTGTGAGTGCGCCTATTAGCCTAATTATGCATAAACACGAAACACAAATGCCTGGCTGTTTGGAAAGTAGACATGAAAGAATCGTCTATATTCTGGATTCTTTCTTTGTGAGGTTTTTCCCCAAAGTGCTATCTTTCAAGTTTTCGTGTGAACTGGATTCCCTCCACTTTTTAAAATTCGATCCAGGTATTACCCTTAAGTGTTCATTGCCTATAATATATGTTTGCTTACCTACAACTGGGGTTATGGTCTGGTAAGATGGGAATAAGCCATATTGACAGTTTATCAATTTTACTTCTTCATGTACAGTCACAGGACAACAGGTGTGTATGAAGCAGTAGCAGCTACTTTATTTGTATTATCAGTAGAGAAGGCAGTTTATAGTTTCACACTTAAACATGTCATCTTTTCAAAATCAAAAGGTTTTTTTGGTCTGCTTCCTTTAACTTTTCATCCCTTTACCTAGAAAGCCATTCTCAGGTTTATTTAGCAGGTTAAACTTTGGAATCTGACATTCCTATATAGAATCCAAGACAAGTGTGAATATTTACAAAATTTTTCTTTGACCTTTAAGGTACGATATCTTCCTTTAAAAGATATTCAAAATCTGTGATCCAAATCAAGAAAATATGCTCACTTTTGAAAGCCTGATATTAGCATACTCGCTAAAAATCTAAGGCAAGGGAATGTTTTATGGTGAATAAAACTTGGGCTTTGGAGTAAGACATGGATGCAAACCCCAGCTCTGTCACTAGTTAGGTAGATTCACTTAGACAAGTTATTTCACCTTTCTTTGCCTCTGTTTCCTTATTAGGAAAATGGAAAGGTATATCCCTCATAGCTTACTCTGGGGGCTAAATGATGCAGTATTTATATAGTACTTCTCCCCATGCAGTAGGCACTCCTAGAGAGCTGGAAGTTTGTTTTGTTCATTATTATATTCCTAGTGTTTGACACAGTGTTTAGAACATGTAAAATGTTGAGTATATATTTGCTGAATAACAAAAAAATCACCTGTGGGTGCCTGGCATGTAGTAGGTACTGAGAAAGTAGTAGTGCCTTCATATCACTTACAAAGGAACTTATTCTTAGAGCTAGGCTAGAAAGCTTTTACTTCTTAGTTATGTATATAAATTTTATTCCCTTTAATATGTGAAGTTGAAGATCTGCCAGTTACAGTAGTCTCCCTTACCCAGGGGATATGTTTCAGACCCTGGTGGATGTCGGGAACCACAGATAGTTCTGAACGCTATATACTGTGTGTTTTTCCTTTACATACTATCCATACCTATGGTAAAGTTTCATTTATAAATTAAGAACAGTAAGAGTTTAACAGCAGTGACTAATAACATAGGACAGTTATAGCAATATACTCATCACAGTTTCATGGATAGAAGACTCATTCTTCCCAAGATTTTAGCACCCTCAGCATATGGGTTTTTTCTTTTCCTTCTTGAGAACTTTCACCTTTTCACTTAAATGAAGTACTTTATGACTTATCTTTAGCATATCCCAATTGGTGGCATCATTACTCTTGCACTTTGGGGCCGTTATTAAGTAAAGTAAGTGTTACTTGAACACAAGCACTACGATACCATGGCACTAGATCTGATAACCAAGACGACTACTGATTGACTAACAGGTGGGTGGCACATACAGTGTGGCAGGAAGCAATGAGGCAGCTGAGTATTTCGTGACGCTATTCAGAATGGCTCGCAATTTTAAACTTAGGAACTGTTTCTGGAATTCTCCATTTACTGTTTTTGGACCTCGGTTGACCACAGGTTACCGAAACTACAGAATGCAAAACCATGAATAAAGGAGAACTACTGTATTTTGGGATAAGAAGATTAAAGTGTCTTTTATGTGTCCTTACTTTCTAGCAGTGTGTTATAGACAACAGTGGCAGTGAGGGCAGTCCTGCTGCTACCCCTGCACTGTTCACAGGATCATCTCCCAGGGAGACTCCATCGCATCCTACTGCCGGTGTGCTGTCCCCAGGGTCACCTCCCAGGGAGACTCCATCGCATCCTACTGCCAGCGTGCTGTCCACAGGGTCACCTCCCAGGGAGGCACCATCCCATCCTTCTGCCAGCGAGCTGTCCCCAGGGTCACCTCCCAGGGAGACGCCATCACGTCCTACTGCCAGCGTGCTGTCCATGGGATCACTTCCCAGGGAGACTACATCCCATCCTACTGCCAGCATGCTGTCCCCGGGGTCAGCTCCCAGGGAGACTCCATCGCATCCTACTGCCAGCATACTGTCCCCGGAGTCACCTCCCAGGGAGACTCCATCCGGAACTGGTTCTGCAGCATCAGGTAATGGATCAGGACAACCAATGTTTCAAACTCCATTCACTGTTTGATGAGCTCTCACTGTGTACCCCAGGCACTCATGTGGCAGTACAGGGTTTTTTGTTTTTTCCTTTTGTCAAAAAAAAAAAATGGGGGCATATTTACACACAATAAAATTCACCAATTTTAGGAGTACAAACAATTCTGACAGATGTGCACCTTAGTGTAAGCACCACCACAATCATCATATAGAACATTTCTGTCACCCCAAAAAGTTCTGTGACCCTCACCAGTCTGTCTCTGCCTTGACCTTTGGTCTCCTGGCAGGTACTGATTTTCTTTGAAACACTTTAGTTTTCTTTTCCTATAATTTATGTATTGACTCAGACAGTATGCCATCTTTCATATTAGGATTCTTTCAGTTAGCATGATGCTGTTGAGACGAAACACACCACCCGTGGCCTTTAAAGCTTAGGTCTGTGATCCATTTTTAGTTAATTTTTGTGTATGGTATGAGGAAGGGTCAATATACTTTCTTTACATTGGAATATCTAATTATTCCTGCCCTGTTTGTTTAAAGGATGAATCTTTCCCCCATTAAATTGCCATGACACCTTTGTTGAAAATAACTTGATATCATATGTGTGGGTCTATTTCTGGACTCTCTTTTCTGTTCCACTGATCTGTATGGCCAGCTTTAGGCCAATACCACACTTTGGAGTAATGTAACTTTCAAGTAAGTCTTGAAGTCTGGTGAAGTAAGTCCCTCAAACTTAATTCTTCTTTTCAAAATGATTTTGAATATTCTAGATCCTTTGTCTGTATAAATTATAGACTCCATTTCTCAGTTTCTAAAAAAAAAATCTTCTTGTGTTTTGATTGAAATTGTGTTGAATCTATAGATGATCAATTTTCAAAGAATTATCTTCCTAATGATACTGAGTATTTTGATTCGCAAGTACGATTTCTCTATTTAGGTCTTTAACTCTTCTCAACAATGTTTTATAGTTTTCAGCCTGCAACTCTTAGACATATTTTGCTAAATTTATCTCTTAAGGATTTTATAATTGTTGATGCTATTGTAAATGGCTTTTAAAATTTTTGATTTTCAATTGTTTGTTGGTAGCATATAGAAATTTAGTCAAATTGTATATTTTTAACTTACATTCTGCAGTTTTGCTAAACTCATTTATTAGTTTTAGTTGCTGTTTTGTAGATTCTGCAGAACTTTTCTACACCGTCTTTATTATCTGCAAATAGAGTTTTACTTCTTTTTTTCCATCTGTTTATCTTGATTTGTCTTGTCTCATTGAACTGACTAGGACCCCCAGCGAACAGAATAGCAAAGAATAGTTCCTAGCTCATTTTTTGAGGCCAGAATTACCAATACCAAAACCAGAAAAAGACATTATAAGTAAAGAAAGGAAATGGACCAATATTCTGCAGAGATGCAATAATGTGTAACAAAATATTAGAAAGGGTTTAATAAAAATAGGAACTTAGACACTTTTGCCTGGTTCAGAGTCTTAAGGGGAAAGCAGTTAGTGTTTCATCATTAAGTATCATGTTAAATGTAAGTTTTCCTTGAATGCCCTTATCAGATGGAGGAAGTTCCCTTCTACTGCTGCCCTGCTGAGATGCCTTTTCTGCATCTGTAGAGATACTCATGGTTTTCCTCCCGCCTTCTATTACTGTGGCAAATTACCTCCATTTTCTGACAATAAATTAACCTTGCATTTGGTCTTGTTCTTTTATCCTTTTTTATATGTTGTTGGATTATCTTTCTAATATTTTGTTACACATTATTGCATCTCTGCAGAATATTGGTCCATTTCCTTTCTTTACTTACAATGTCTTTGTCTGGTTTTGGTATTGGTAATTCTGGCCTCAAAAAATGAGCTAGGAACTATTCTTTGCTATTCTGTTTTCTGGAGGAGTTTGTGTTGAACTGTTATTACTTCTTTGTATGTTTGGTAGAATTTACCAGTGAATCTTTCTGGGCCTGGAGTTTTTCTCGGTGAGAAGGATTTTAACAACAAATTTAAATTCTCTAATAGATATAGGTCTAATCAGGTTATCAGTTTCTTAATGATCTTTGGTCATTTGTATCTTCTAAAAAATGTATCTATTTCATCTAATTTGTTGAGTGTATTGGCATAAAGTTTTAATAATATTCCCTTTTCTTATTAATGTCTGTGGGTTTTATAGTAATGTACCTCTCTTACTGCTGGTATTCGCATTTCTTCCTGATCAATCTGACTGTGTGTTTATCAATTTTAATAACTTTTCAAAGAAGCAACTTTTGATCTCAGTGGGTATTTTTTTCTTTTTTTGTGTGGGGGGAGGGAGTTATTTTATTGATTGATGCTCTAATTTTTTTTCTTGAGATGGAGCCTCGCACTGCTGCCTGGGCTGGAGTGCAGTGATCTTGGCTCACTGCAGCCTTCACCTCCCGGGTTCAAGTGATTCTCTTGCCTCAGCCTCCTGAGTAGCTGGGATTACAGGTGTCCACCACCATGCCCAGTTAATTTTTTTTATCTTTAATAGAGTTGGGGTTCATCATGATTTGCTCACTTCGGCGTCTCAAAGTGCTGGGATTACAGGCATGAGCCACCACATCTGGCCTATGCGCTAATTTTTATTACTTCTTTTCTCTTTACTTTGGATTTTATTTGTTCTTTTTCTCATTTCTTAAGGTAGAAGTTTAGATCATTGAATTAAGGTTTTTTTTCCCCCAATATAAACATTTAATGTTATTGAATGCTCTAACCATTGCATCCCTCAAATTTTGGTATGTTATATTTTTATTTTCATTCAGCTTAAATAGTTCTTTTTTTTTTTTTTAGAGCCAAGGTCTCACTTGACTGCCCAGGCTGGAGTGCAGTTGTATGATCCCAGCTCACTGCAGCCTTAAACTCCTGGGCTCAACAGCCCTCTGACCTCAGCTTCCTGAGTAGCTGGGACTACAGGCATATGCCACTGCGCCTGGCCAGTCTAAAATATTTCTAATTTCACTTGTATTTTCTTCTTTGACCTTTGGGTTATTTAGAAAGGTTTGATTTCCTAATATCTGGAGACTTTTTAGATATTTTTATTTTATTAATTTCTAATTTAAATGTAGTCAGAGAACATTTTTTTATATTTGTAAATTTACTGCCACATTGTGTAGTCATCTGGAAGTTGGTCCATCTCGATGAATGTTTCATGTGCATTTGAAAAGAGTGTGTGTTCTGCTATTGTTGAGTTACGTGTTCTATAAATGTAAATTAGATCAAGTTGATTGATGATGTTGATCCAACCTTCTCTATTTTAACTGATTTTCTATCTGTTTTATAAGTTATTATGACATGGCTCTTGTATGTCCAGCTATAATTGTGGATTTCTCTATTTTTTCTTATAGTGCAATGAGTACTTACTTCAATGTATATATTAGGTGTCTATACACTGAAGGTTGTTATATCCTCTTGATGAATTGATCTTTTTTTTTTTTATTTTTGAGACGGAGTCTCACTCTGTTGCCAGGCCTAAGTGCCATGGCACAATCACAGCTCACTGCAACCTCTGCCTCCCAGGTTAAAGCAATTCTCCTATCTCAGCCTCCCAAGTAGCTGGGACTACAGTTGCATGCCACCATGCCCAGCTAATTTTTGTATTTTTGGTAGACACGGGATTTCACCATGTTTGCCAGGATGGTCTCAATGTCTTGACCTCGTTATCCACCTGCCTCGGCCTCCCAGAGTGCTGGGATTACAGGCGTAAGCCACCGCACCCAACCAGATTGATCCCTTTGTCCTGAAATATGTCTTGCTTTGAAGTCTGCTTTGTCTGATATCAGTGTATCCAGTCCAGCTTTATTTTGATTAGTGTTTACATGGTATTTTGTTTTTCATCTCTTTACTTTTAACTTATCTGTGTCTTTATATTTAAAGTGAGTCTCTCATAACCACCACAGAGTTGGGTATTGCTTTTTATCCATGTGATGATCTCGGCCTTTTACTGCAGTGCTTGCTTAGACTATTTACGTTTAATGTGACTATCGATATGGTTAGGGTTAAGTTAAATCTTTTGTCTTGTTGCTGTTTTCTGTTGGTCTCATCTGCCCTTTCTTTTTTTCCTCCTACTCTTCTCCTTTTGGGTTGTGTATTGGCTTTTCAAGTATACCAATTTTTTTAAGTTTTTGCTCTAGGATTTACTTTTTTTTTATTTTTATTTTTTCATGGAGACTGACTCTCGCTCTGTCGCCCAGGCTGGAGTGCAATGGCATGATCTCGGCTCACTGCAACCTTCACCTCCCAGATTCAAGCTTTTCTCCTGCCTTGCCTCAGCTTCCCAACTAGCCGGTACTACAGACATGTGCCACCACACCCAGCTGATTTTTTCTATTTTTAGTGGAGACAGCATTTCACCGTGTTGGCCAGGCTGGTCTCAAACTTCTGACCTCAGGTGATCTGCCCACCTCAGCTTCCCAAAGTGCTGGAATTACAGGTGTGAGCCACCATGCCCAGCCTGCTCTAGGATTTACAGTGTACATCTTTTACTTATCACAGTTTACCTTCAAATATTATACCTATTGTATCACTTTATATATCAGAACCTTAAAATGGAGTACTTCCATTTCCCCCTTGTCTTTGTGCTATTTTTGTCATTCTTTTAACATGTGTAAAAAAGCCCACAATAACATTGTTGTTATTTTTGCTTTAAACAGTAATAACCTTTTAAAGTCTTCTTGTGTGGGTGTTTCATTGTTGTCTTTGTGTTTTTTTGACACAGGGTCTCACTCTGTTACCCAGGCTAGAGTGCACTGGTGCAATCATAGCTCACTGTAGCCTCAAACGCCTGAAACAAGTGATCCTTCAGCCTCGGCCTCCTGAGTAGGTGGGACTACAGGCATGCACCACCACGCTTAGCTGATTTTTTATTCTTATGGAGATGGGATCTCACTATGTTGCCCAGGCTGGTTTCAGACTCCTGGCCTCAAGCAGTGGTCTCATCTTGGCCTCCCAAAGTGCCAGGATTACAGGTGTAAGCCACCATACCCAATCTAAAGATATTTTTTAGTGAGGAAAATTTTTTATTACGTTTACCCATTTAGTTTTTTTTAAAAAAATTAGACAAATCTTTTTGTTTTGTATTTTTAATTCCTTCAGAGTCAATGAGAAGGATCTAGACGAGTCAAATGCAAGCTAGGAAAGGAATGATCCTAAAGCTTCATAAGCAGCAATAAAAGTATGGTCTTTGGGATGAAGTTTCTCTCTTGTGACAGGAGGAAGGTGAGGAGGGAGTACATATGTGATTAATTGTGTATATTTGGTATCATGAAGCTGAGCAATTTGCTTTCTGATGCCTCCTTTTTTCTTTGTAAAATAGGTAAGAGTGAGGGAGGAAATAGAGAATTTGAAAATAATCATTGCTGGGATAGGTTAGTGCATGGACCAGAGGATGGTAGCAGGATTCCCAGGCATTTTGATGCTCCATTTGAGGTTGGTGATGATGAATTTATTGTAGAAACACTGTACCCCATATGTGACATTTTCCGTGCATTTGGCTACTTTGGTTTAAGTAAGAACAAAGCCAATAATTGGCTTTATTGGAGTTGGCATTTTGATGGTTATGAAAAGTCAGAGGGAAAAAGAAGTCTAAAGTATTCACAAGGCGTGTTACTGAATGACGAACTGAGGACTTAGGCTGAATAGTGAAGGAACTAGGAGAAGACTAAGATAAATTTGTGGTTGAAATAATTGAACAAGCCAATGAGAAAGTGAAGCTGAGATGTTAATGATTTTGGAGATGAAACAGTTATGGGTGATGATAAAGGACAATGTGTGTAGCCTTGAGAGTGATAGCTCATTAGGAATGGAAAAAGAGATCTTGGGAAGACCAGAGAAGCAGGAGGCTGTTCACAGGGAGGAGGATGTTTCCTGGAAATAATGGTTGGGCTGGCTGATGAGGACTGTCTGAGGCAAGTCTTTGAAGAATGAGAACCAGCTTGGCAAATCAGTCAGACAGGTCTTTTCTAATTATTTGTTGTTGATTTTTGACAGGAAGCAGTGACTGCAGTATATACTTTACTGGTAGTGCTTATTCTTCTGAAATCTCTCAAAATGGGCAGCAATCTCAGGATATACAGAAAAAAGAAATATTTCCCAATGTCGCCGAAGAGTCCATCTGGAGAATGATACAACAGACACCTGAGTGCATTCTCATGACATATCAGGTACCTGAGAGGTAAGAAAGCACTTTAGAAGACCCACTTTTTATATTTTCATGGTTTCTTTTTTTCTTTTTTGAGATGGAGTCTCAGTCACCCAGGCTGGAGTACAGTGGCACAATCTCTGCTCACTACAACCACTACCCCCCAGGTTCAAGTCATTCTCCTGCCTCAGCCTCCTGAATATCTGGGATTACAGGTGCACACCACCACACCTGGCTAATTTTTGCATTTTTAGTAGGGACGAGGTTTTTGATTTTCTTTTTTTTTCTTCGAGACAGAGTCTCACTCTGTCATCCAGGCTGGAGTGCAGTGGTGCGATCTAAGCTCACTGCTACCTCCGCCTCACCTGTTCAAGCGGTTCTCCTGCCTCAGCCTCCTGAGTAGTTTGGATTACAGGCATGCACCATCACATCTGGGTTAGTTTTTTGTATTTTTAGTAGAGATGGCGTTTCACCATGTTGTTCAGGTTGGTCTCAAACTCCTGGTCTCAGGTGATTCACCCACTTCAGCCTCCCAAAGTGCTGGGACTACAGGCATGAGCCACTGCACCTGGCCGAGACAGGGTTTCACCATGTTGGCCAGGCTGGTCTTGAACCACTGACCTCGGGTGATCCACCCACCTCATCCTCCCAAAGTGCTGGGATTACGGGTGTGAGCCACCGCGCCCAGCCTGTGTTTCTTAATGTGTTTTTAAAGACAAAATAATTTTTTAATGTTTTATAACTTCCCTTTGAGAAACATATTTTCAAATTTATTCGTTTGAAGTCAAATGATGATGATTTCTTAAAATAAGGATGTCAGTGATAGTGCCACCTATATTGAGTTCCAGACTAAGCAAAGCTTACACATCGTGAGACAAGGAAACAGAAAGTCTGTGCTTTCCAAGATGGCACACACGTACAAGAACTTTTCATTTTAGACTCTCGATTTTTTTTCCTTGTTCTAAAAGAAGAGCTAAGGGAAATCTCTTTCTTCCATACACCTCATTAAAACATCATACAGATATTTTCCACCAAGAAAAAAGTCTACTTTACCTACTTGACAAGGAAATGCTCTAGTTATTTTTTAATTGTATGCCTCATATGTTAGAAAATGTAAGGTGTATTACCAACCAAAAAGAAATGCTATTGCTAGATGACATGATAAGAACCCTGTGTCTGATTCAGGACTCTTACGATTCTGTTTGTTTTCAGGGTTAAAGAAGTTGTCCTAAGAGAAGACCTAGAAAGGCTAGAGAGTATGAAGCAGCAGCAGCCCCAGTTTTCTCATGGGCAGCAGGAGGAGCTGGCCAAGGTGTATAATTGGATTCAAAGCCAGGCTATCCCTCAGGAAATTGACGTTCAAGTAAGCACAGTAATAGTGGCTGTCATCTACTCATGTGTTTTTAACAGGTGGTGGTTTTCATATAGGTCGTGCTTTTGCAGGATCCCACTACAAACTTTAATCTTCACAGTTTACCTCTGTGGTAGGTGTTATTATTTTCTCTTTACCAGTAAGCAACAAGTAAGGTATACATAGCTTAAATAATTAGTACAAGGTCATGCAGTTCATAGGGTTTTGAACACAGATCTTTTTGCATCTAAGCTGGTTTTTTTCTTCCACCAGCTAAAAGTTGGGAGACAACAAAGAGTCAAAACACCTGCATTGATGTGTGATTGGCTGCATTTGACAAGTGACTTGTTGTGTATTTCAAATATGTCTGCATGTTTGAAAAGAGTTAAAAAAGATGTAAGATTCACACCGAGGTGGTATTCATGTCAAGCAAAAACTTTAATGGGACCTAAGTGTCTTTTTGCTGTTATGAGGTCTTCTCAATGAGATCATTTGTCAATACCCTGAACCAGTAAAGCTTTGATTTACCAATGGTCCCAACCAGTGTTGGTGGCAGCTGTGGTAATGGTTGAGATGGTTGTACTAGTAATGAGGTCTTTATTCCCACAAGTATCAAGTTATGGGAGGTTGAAGAGTCAAAGTAAAAGCAATAGCAAATAGGCCTAGCCCAGTGGCTCACATCTGTAATCCCAGCACTTTGGGCGGCCACGGTAAGAGGATCAGGAGTTGGAGACCACACTGGGCAGCACAGCCAAACCTCATCTCTAATAAAAATCAAAAAAAGTAGACGGTGTGGTAGCTTGCACCTATAGTCCCAACTACTCAGGAGGCTGAGGCAGGAGGATCACTTGAGCCTGGGAAATTGAGGCTACAATGAGCTATGATGTCACCACTGCACTCCAGCCAGTCTCAAAAAAGAAAAAGTGTGTGTGTGTGTGTGTGTGTGTAAAAATATTTAAAAATGAGAATAAAGTTAGTTGTTTTAAAAAAGTTTGATATTAATGCTTATGAAGTAAGCAAAACAATGAAATCATATTCCCCCCTTCTTAAAAATTAACACTTTTTTATTGTGGTATAATACATGTAACATAAAATTTACCTTCTTAACTATTTTTATGTATATAATTCAGGAATATTATTTTCACATGCAACCATCACCACCATCCATTTCCAGAACACTCTTCATTTTGCAAAACTGAAACTCTACCCATTAAACAATAACTTCCCCCACTTTTACACTGTTGGTGAGAGTATAATTTAGTTCAACCATCATGGAAGACTGTGTGGCGATTCCTCAAGGATCTAGAAATGGAAATTCCATGTGACCCAGCAATCCCATTACTGGCTATATACCCAAAGGATTAGAAATCATTCTGTCATAAAGACACATGCACATGTATGTTCGATGTGATGCTGTTCACGATAGCAAAGACCTGGAACCAACCCAAATGCCCATCGATGATAGACTGGCCAAAAAAAATGTGGCACATATATACCATATGCAGCCATTAAAAACGATGAATTCACGTCCTTTGTAGAGACATGGATGAACCTAGAAACCATCATTCTCAGCAAACTGACACAAGAACAGAAAACCAGACACCGCATGTTTTCACTCATAGGAGTGTGATGAACAATGAGAGCTCTTGGGCACAAGGAAGGGAACAACACTTACAGGGCTAGGTGAGAGGGTGAAGGGGAGGAACAGTGGGGTAGGGTGGAGGGGATGGGGAGAGGGAACACCAGAAGAAATGCCTGATGTAGGCGAGGGGTGGGTGGGGAGATGAAGACAGCAAACCACCATGGCATATATGTACCTATGCAACAATCATGCAGGATGCAGGACATGCACATGTACCCCAGAGCTCAAATACAATTAAAAAAAACAATAACTTTCCCTTTCCTCCTCCCAACCCTTTACAACCACTGGTCTACTTTCTCTTTTTTCTTTTGAGGCAGAGTCTTTTTTCTATTGCCCACACTGGAGTGCAGTGGCATTATCTTGGCTCACTGCAACCTCTGCCCCCAGGTTCAAGCAGTTCTCCTGCCTCAGCCTCCAGAGTAGCTGGGATTGCAGGTGCACACCACCATGCCCAGCTAATTTGTTTTACCATGTTGGCCAGGCTGGTCTCAAAGTCCTGACCTCAAGTGATCCACCTGCCTCAGCCTCCCAAAGTGCTGGAATTACAGGCAAGAGCCATATGAACTTGACTACTCTACATACCTTATGAGTGGAATCATACATTATTTGGCTTGTTGTGACTCTCTCTTGGTTACTGTTTGCATGTAATATCTTTTTACATCCTTTCACTTTCAACCTACTTGTATCTAGATCTAAAGTGAGTAAACAGCATATATCTGGTGCTTTTAAAAATCTGTTCAGTCAATCTCTTTTGATTGGAGAATTTAGCCCATTTACATTTAAAGTAATTACTGGTAAAGAAGGACTTACATGTGTCACTTTGCTATTTGTTTTCTATGTGCCTTAAAAGGTTTTTTCCCTCATTTCCTGCATTACTGTCATCTTTTGTGTTTGGTTGGTTTCTTGAAGTGAAATGTTACGCCCTGCTCTTTTCCTGTTGTGTATATGGTGTAGCTATTTTCTTTGTGATAACCATGGGGATTACGTTCAGCATTCTAACATTATATCACTCTAGTTTGAATTTATACCAGCTTAACTTTGGTAACCTACAAAAACTCTGCTTCTATAGAGTTCCATCTCCATCTTCTTTCAGTTACTGAAGGTATAAAATTAGGTATTTGTATATTGTGCTTCCAAAAACATCATTTTTATGTATTAATCTATTAAATTATATAGAAATCAAAATATGGGATTACAAATCAAAGTTAAAATAATACTGGCTTTTATAGACTAGTTTTCTTTAAATTTATTAGTTTCTTAAAAACAAGAAGTGGAATTATACATAATTGTTGCAATAATAATATTTACCTTCACTGGAATCTTTATTTTTTCATACAGATTCAAGTTACTGTCCTTTGATTTCAACCCTGAAGGATTCCTGTTAGCATTTCTTGGATGATAAGTCTAGTGGTACCCATTGGCTTTTGTTTATCTGGGAATGTCTTCACTTCTCCCTTACTTTTGAAGAACAGTATGGCCAGACAAAGCATTTCTTAGTTGATGGTTTTTTTTCTTTAAGCACTTTGAATACAATGGCCCACTGCCTTTTGGCCTCCACAGTTTCTGATGAGATACCTGCAGATAACCTTATCAAGAATCTTCTGCATGTGATGAGTTGCTTTTCCCTTGCTGCTTTTAAGAGTCTCTTTGTTTTTAACTTCACACTATTTAATTACAATGTGTCTCAGTGTGGATCTCTGAGTTGTGAGTACATCCTAGTTGGAGTTCATTTAGCCTCTTGGATGGTTATATTCATGTCTTTCATCAACTCTGGGGAGTTTTCAGTGTTTTTTTTTTTTTTTTTAAATAATCTTTTTGCCTCTTTCTCTCTATCTTCCTCTGGGACCTCCATAGTGCTTACGTTGCTCCACTTGATGGTATCCCACATGTCCTCCAGGCTCTGTTGACTTTTCTTCAGTGCTTTTTCTTTTTGTTTCTCAGACTTGACGATTTCAACTGTCCTGTCTGCATGTACAGATTCTTCCTTCTTCCTGCTCACATCTGCTTTTGAATCCCTCTAGTGAATTTTTTATTTCAGTTTTGTACTTTGTATTTACAGAATTTCTTTCTGGCTTCTTTTTGGGTTTTCTCTCTCTTTATTGATATTTCCGTTTGTTTGTACATTGATTTTCTTGATTTTTCTCCATGCCTTTCTTTAATTCTTTCATCATATTTTTCTTTTCTTTTTTTTTAAGACAAGGCCTCACTCTGTCACCTAGGCTGGAATGCAATGGCATGATCCTGGCTCACTGCAGCTCAGCCTCCTGAGCTCAGGCAATCCTGCCACATCAGCTTCCCAAGTAGCTGGCACCCACTACCATGACCAGCTAATTTTTTAGTTTTTGTAGAGATGGGGTTTTGCCACATTGCCCAGGCTGGTCTTGAACGCTTGAGCTCAAGCAATCCACCTGCCTTGGCCTCCTGAAGTGCTGGGATTATAGCCGTGGGCCACTGCACCCAGCTTTTTTTTTTCTTTTTCTTTTTTTTTTTTTTTTAAGGCAGTCTCACTTTGTCACCCAGGCTGGAGTGCAGTGGCATGATCACAGCTCACTGCAGCCCTCATCTCCTAGTTTCAGGTGATCCTCTCAAGCTGGGACTACGAGTGTGCACCACAATGCCTGGCTAATTTTATTTTATTTTTTTAGAGATGAGGTCTCACTATGTTGCCCAGCCTCAAGCCATCCACCTGCCTGGGCCTTCCAAAGTGCTGGGATTACAGGCATGAGCCACTGTGCCCCACCAGTTCTTTGATCATCTTTCAGTTGTTTTAAAATATTTGTCTAGCAATTCTTTTATCTGGTCTTTCTCAGAGACTTTTGCTATTGGTTTATTTTTTTCCTTTGAATGGCCTATAACAGGAGTGTCCAATCTTTTGGCTTCCCTGAGCCACATCGTAAGAATTAAGAATTGTCGGGCTGGGCACGGTGGCTCACGCCTGTAATCCCAGCACTTTGGGAGGCCGAGGTGGGTGGATCACGAGGTCAAGAGATCGAGACCATCCTGGTCAACATGGTGAAACCCCGTCTCTACTAAAAATACAAAAAATTATCTGGGCATGGTGGCACGTGCCTGTAATCCCAGTTACTCAGGAGGCTTAGGCGGGAGAATTTCTTGAACCCAGGAGGCGGAGGTTGCGGTGAGCCAAGATCGCGCCATTGCACTCCAGCCTGGGTAACAAGAGCGAAACTCCGTCTCAAAAAAAAAAAAAAAATTGTCTTGGGCCGCACATAAAATATACTAACAATAGCTGATGAGCGAAAAAATAATAAGTCACCAAAAAACCCTCATGTTTTAAGAAAGTTTACAAACTTGTGTTGGGCCACATTCAAACCCATCCTGTGCCTCATGTGGCCCATGGACAGCAGGTTGGACACGCTGGGGCTGTACTTTGCAGTTTCTTTGTATGCCTTAATGATTTTTTTTTTTTTGGTTGAAAATAGGCATGTGAATCTAAGTCGTAATTCTGGAAACCATATTCTCTCCTTTCCCAGGGTGTATTGATTATTGTTTTCATTTTTTGATTGTTGGAAGACAGGGCCCTTATTTCCCACCCTGACTCCCACAAGCTGTATGTAAGCTGCTCCAGGAATATGTGCCTTGCCCAGGGTCAGGGATGGGTAGTTGCTACTGTGCTTCAAGCTGAAATTGACCACAGACAACCACAGCTTACCCTCTAAGCATTCCCCGGAAAGTTGCAGGCCTTCAAATACACTCAAGTTCCAAATTGTTACCTCGGACTGATTTTGTCAGTGCAGTTGTTGTCTAGGTGAGGAGATAGAGTCCTAGTCCTCCTACTCTGCCATCTTCTCAGAATCATCTCCCCATCTCCATTTTCAAAGAAAAGAATGAGTGTCTGTCATGTAAGAATGACTGGATAGGGTCTCACCAAAAAGCAGGAGCTGGGCTGGTTACTGTAAATGTCTTTGTTTTGTTTCAGTGTCGTTCTTCTGGTTTTAAATAGACACGTATATGAAGGATGAGCCCCACAGCAATTTAAACAAAAGCACAGTCCATGCACCACTTAGTGACGGGTCTGTTTTGTGCAAGCATCCTGGAGTGTTCTCACACAAACCGAGCTGGGGTAGCTTGCTACACTCACTCCTAGGTTCTATGGGGAAGCTGTTTGATTCTAGCCTGAATACTGTAGTCAGTTGTAACACAGTGGCACTTGTGTATCACACATAGAAAAGGTACCATTAAAATATGGTAGAATAATCTTAAAAGAAAGACCACCATCATATATGTAGTCTGTTGTTGACTGAAATACCATGCGGCACATTACTCTATTTAAACAATTTGTCATGTGCCTTTTAATAATAAAGAAGAGCTCTAATGAATATTTTCAGACATGAATAAGTTGGGGAGTTAGAAACATGTTGCTTGACCAGCCTTTTACTGTTTTAAAACTCTTCAGGTGACATTGACATCAGCTAACGCACCTGCTTTTGTTCTTTTTTGGAGGCCTGTGTCACTTGCGAAAGTGCAGATTCAGGTGATGATGCGGCCACATCCAGTGGTCAGGCAGAAGACAGCAGCTGAGTGACTGAGGATGAACCTTCGTATACCCTTTCCAAGACATGTTACACAAACAGACCTTTTTAAGTCCTGGACTTTTAAATATTTGACCATGAAGTTATCAGTGAATGTTAAGATTTTTTCTTCTTGATTTTTTTAATACACATAATCTTTTTGAAGCAGATGTTGTATACAAAGTCTTACTTCTCTTTGTTCCTGATACATTAAAATGGCCAATGAGGCTCTTTCTCTAGTTGAGTTGTCTTCTAAAGAGATTGGATGGCCTCTAAAGAGGTATGTGGATCTCTAGTTCAGATGTCACCCAGAATAAATTATAATTAGAAGTCTAGCTAGAATGAGCCCCAGACCTTAGCATGATTTATTTTGTTCTGTTACATAAGTCATTTTCACCTAGAGTGCTGGAAGAACTCTCGTCTGCAGGTTGTATACTTTTCATAATGGTTTGCGTAAATGTAGTACATTCACGTAGGCTTTGTTCAACCTGGCATTCCCCTGCTTAAGATAAAACATTCCGGTTTTCTCACAGCACATTAGCACATACTGTCCATTAGCATATCTGGGATAACCAGGTTTTGAGGGTTGAGTTTTAATCTTCATCCTTGCAGATGCCTTTCCTATTGATTTTCCACCTTCCAGTGAAATTCTGAAAGTCGTATCTTAAACATTGATCAGCTTACCATGGGCTAACTCTTTTGAGAGTTTAAGTTAGCATTTACATATGTAATGTTAAAATGAAAGAGCTGCTTATTCAACCAATGATGTTGCCCTTTTGAATGTTTTTGTTGAATTGTAAAGTTTCACAAGTAATGTAAAAGCTAGTATCGTTCTTGTATACTTCTGTGTTTAAATTTTCATTCTTAACAAAACAGTTAACTCTTTATTTCCAATCAATTTATACAAAAGAGGTCACTCCAGCCCTACCAGAGGCCTGATTTGGCTCTGCCTTTGTTTGCCCTTGAACAGGGGTAAGTGTCCTGGGGATTGCACAGGAGAAAACGTCCAGGCGAGTTCAGTTGTCCTTCCCACAAGGCCCTCTGGTTCCATCAGTCAGTGCTTTCTATGGCGGTTATAGTTGTGTCTTTTAAGAAGTGAGCGCGATTGTCTGATAAATCCGCTCACTTTCTGGTGCTCTTTAGAGAAGTTCCTGATTCCTTCTCAAACTTGGAATGATAGATGAAATTCACACCCCTGGAGGTCAGGGAAAAAAAATACAAAATGAAGGTTACAGTAAGCTTTTGTCTTTATATAACTTGCAACAAACTAACATTTTTTTCTTCCCCTTTATTTGTTTTTGTTTCTTGTGGTTTAGGGAAATGCTTCTTTCTCATTTGAAGTGTTACAGCTTTTTGTAAATTCATCGTATTAATGATTAGGAAAATCAACCTTTTTAATCCACGATTACCATCCCCATAGCTCAGATTTTCTTTCGGAGTACTGGTTTTCTGGATGGTAATTCCATCTTAAGGTGTCAGAACTATTTTCAAATGCTGCCTCTGACAGTTCTTGAATTTTCTGATATTAAGCAGTTCCATGCACATATTCCCGTTTTATAAATAGCTCTCATATTCTGCTCCATCTTGATACTTAAGTGATTTCTGAAGCCTTTGTGTATGTGTTGATCAGGTTGTGTGGTATTTTTGCTTGATGAAAAAATCACATTTGAAACAACCAGTTGTTAGATTGTCAGTGATCTTCTGTAGTAATAAAGTTTTTGCTTCTGTAAATAAAAACAATATCTGTAGCTATCAGGATTATTGTGTATTCATATACGCCTGTTTTAAGCCTTATGTTCTCTAATAGAAGCCTTTCTTTTCCATTGTTTCTGGGTATCTGTATTATCCAAATGTGCTCATTTCTTGGCCTTAGTACACATTTTCTGGAGTACATGTTATACGAGGTTTCATTGGAAACTGGTGCTTGTCACAGAACTGTCAGAGCATGAGGAGCGCTCCTGTTGTGGGTAGATGTGTCCACACACTCGGGTTGCACCTGCTGCTGGCGGTGAGCGGGGGCTCCGCAGCTGGACCACCGCCCCCCAAGGGGGCTCTCCCCAGTTTAAACTTTGTTGTTCAAATTTATTAACTTTTTATATTAATGACTATAGAAAATGGTAGTAAACATGTATATTATAGGCTTCAGTGTTTACATAAATGTTATCCAGAAGCTGTATTTTCTTTGGTCAGAGGTCAAGATTTATGAAAAACAAGATGCTGTCTGAATGGAATCATTTTGCAATTGAGTGAAACTTCATTATAATTCACAGTGTATATTTAATCCAAATTGAAATTTTGTTTCAACTGAATGTATAATTAACTCTGAATTTGTTTTTAATCATTAGTAATACTCGAATTGGATATCTTTTTAAGTAAAAACAATAAACTGTGTACATGTAAAACATGAGACATTGTCCTTCCCTGTGTTGACAGATCTTTGAGTGTGTGTTCTGTATCATTTAGAGCTGTTTCTTGTGGTCTGCTGGAGCCCTCACATTGGTTAACCTTGCTTTTTCAGCCACATTCTGTGTTCGCATTGGCCAGTGTGAGCGCCTACTGTATGGAGGACGAAGATGCAGGCACTTGGGAATGTATTGGCTTATTTAACCCATTTATACCGAATGTTCCATTATTGGAATGGTAAGCTTGTGGGAGTTATTTATATCCTACTGCTCAAAGTTATCGCCAAGGTCTGATTTTTCACACACACACACACACACACACACACACACACACACAAAATCCAATCTCCAACATAAATGGATTAGTCCCCATTTCAGCACTCTGAAGAATGTATTGGGTCCTGAATATATGTACATATTTTTAATACTCATTTTAATGTCAGATTTAAAATTTGGTTATCAAAATTTCTCTTAATAGATTTTGTAGGGTGAACCTGTGTACAAGATCTGACTGTATAACTCGTGGCAACAAAACCTAGAAATTAAAATATAGAACAAGATCCTGAAGCCAACAGAGCTTTTTAAAGTTTCACCTTTCAGACCATTTGCACCTTTTTTTTCTGTAACAAAAACCGTGACAAGAAGAGCAGGAAGAAAAATAGCGAAGTATACTTTACATGTGTACTACTCTGACAGGTGCTAGTCTAAGTGCTTGACGTGATTTAATCCTCATAGCTGCCCTGTGAAATAAGCATGGTTATTGTCCTCATTTCACAGAGAAGTAAACTGAGGCAAGGGGAGTTAAATAACTGGGTCAAAGACACAGCTGGTATGCAGTGGGAGTAGGAATCAATCCAGAAACCTGACGGGAGAGCCCGTCTCTGCATCATCACCTGATATCACTAAAATGAGTAGGGTTTCATCATGTTGCCCAGGATGGTCTCAAACCCTTGAGCTCAAGTGATCAACCCACCTCAGCCTCCCAAAGGGCTAGGATTACAGGCATGAGCTACTGTGCCTGGCCATGCTTTATTTTTTAAGCAGTATGTTCTCTTTTTTAAGGGTTGAGAGGACATCATAGCTAAGATACGTAGTTTATTTAAATGATTTGTCATTTAACAAGTTTAACTTTCATGATTTTTTCTTCGTGTTTGCTTCTGTTCATTTATTAGCTTCGCTTCTGCATTTTCAAAGAATTTTCTAGGATAAATGGAAGAAAGGAATAATTTTAAATTTTCCGGACATGTTTATAGGGAAAATAACCACTCCGGTATGTGCAAAACATAGAGGATTTATTTTCCAGGTGAAAATGAACGGGATAGTTTGCCTGGTTTTTCTCCACACTGTTTTCAAATCAAGCATTGTTTTATCTTTCATGTTCTAAGGTGGGTGTTTCTGAGCTGACTAATAGATGCTGATTTCACTTCAGACACAGTATTTCCAGAAGCAATCAGGAGTCTCACGTTTCTTGTATGGTTTCCTGGTTCTGGCCAAAAGATGACTCAGTAAAATGTTAAGATCTTGTCCAGAGGAAGCCTGAAACGAAAACAATCCAAAAAAAAAAAAAACAAAACAGATAAGTTACCAACGAAATGAAGAGTTCTGCACACAAAAAAAGAATCTTTAGTCAAGACAGCGGACTTCTTAAAAGTATTTGCATTTTTCCCTGGACTGTAATTGTAACGAGTGTCCCGGGCCCAGTGGGACACTCTCCTGTGCACACCTCCCCGCCTCTAACGAGTGTGCCTCCAGTCTGTTCAGACAAGTGATGGTCATGAATTTTCCTAAACACTCATTGACTAGTTTCTATTTAAATCATGTCAGTGGCTGGGCGGGCTGCTCACACCTGTAATTCTAGCACTTTAGGAGGCCGAGACGGGAAGGTCACTTGAGCTCAGGAGTTCAAGACCAGCCTGGGCAACTTGGTAAAAGTCCATCTCTACAAAAATTGGCTGGGTGTGGTGGTGGGCTCCTGTAGTCCCAGCTACTCAGGAGGCTGAGGCATGAAAATTGCTTGAACCTGGGAGGTGGATGTTGCAGTGAGCCGAGATCACACCACTGCACTCCAGCCTGGATGACAGAGTAAGACCCTGTCTCAAAAATTAAAAAAAAGTCAGTAACATGTTCTGTGCATTTATTATCTTCTGTGTAAAATATTGTATTGTTTGTATTGTACTGTGTTGTGTTGTATTGTATTCTTTTGAGATGGAGTCTCACTCTGTTGCCTGCGTTGGAGGGCAGTGGCGCCATCTCAGCTCACTGCAACCTCCACCTCCCGGGTTCAAGTGATTCTCCTGCCTCAGCCTCCTGAGTAGCTGGGATTACAGTTGGATGCCACCATGCCCGGCTAAGTTTTGTATTTTTTTTCTAGAGACAGGGTTTCACTATGTTGCCCAGACTGGTCTTGAACTCCTGGCCTCAAGTGATCTGCCTGCCTCAGCCTCCCAAAGTGCTGGGATGACAAGCCTGAGCCACTGCACCCAGCCTCCTGCACATTGTTCATGTCAATGTCTGGGGCATGGCCTTCTTCCATGAGATGTTATTGCATTGCTCTCCATGCTTTCATGTGTATGGGCATCAGCTGGGGATCTTGTTAAGATGCAGACTTTGCTTCTGTGGCGCTAGGTGGCCCTGAAATTCTGCATTCCTCACTGGCTTCCAGGCGCTCCTGGTGCTGCTGGCGGGGCCGCGTGTTAGATGGCAGATGAGAGCACAGGTGAATGCCAGGCTGGCCAGCAGGAACCTCGTCTATTTTTTTCATTCTTTCACAACCAGTTTGATCTACCCAAAACAGGCACTGGTAAGTTCTTGTTGCATTCAGATCGCATATCAATCAAAATTTGGAAAAATTAATGCTTTGAAATAATGCTGGCCAATTATTTTAAGGTGTGGTTTCCACCAAGAACACTCCTCATTCATGAATTCAGAGTCCTGTAAAATTAGTACAGAACGTTCACCTTCTAAACCTCACTGATAAATAGAGTCACTCACCTTTCCCAAATTTCCTCTTGGGTTAAAAATGTTGGTTCTTGAGTCTGAAAAACAGTTTGAAACCAATTCATCAGATCCGTTGTTTCTCCGGTATGTTTGTTTTAATGTATACACACGTGCATGTATAACATTACTAAATTATGACTGGCTTCTAGTCTCTGTGCACACTGCAGCCAGATTTTCTTGAATGCAGACAGGCACTCACAAAAGTCACTGCATTTTCCTCAGTAACTTAGCAGTCCAGTAGCTCATTAAAGACATAACAAATGAACTCCTGTCTATTAAACAATGCCTATTAAAAGGCTCAATTTTTTTTTTTTTTTTTTTTTTTGAGACGGAGTTTCACTCTTGTTACCCAGGCTGGAGTGCAATGTCACGAACTCAGCTCACCGCAACCTCCGCCTCCTGGGTTCAGGCAATTCTCCTGCCTCAGCCTCCTGAGTAGCTGGGACTACAGGCACGTACCACCATGCCCAGCTAATTTTTTGCATTTTCGGTAGAGACGGGGTTTCACTGTGTTGACCAAGATGGTCTTAATCTCCCGACCTCGTGATCCATCCGCCTCAGCCTCCCAAAGTGCTGGGATTACAGGCGTGAGCCACCGCGTTCAGCCCAATTTTTTTTTTTTTTTTTTTTTTTTAAGACAGTCTCGCTCTGTCACCCAGGCTGGAGTGCAGTGGTGAGATCTTGGCTCACTGCAACCTCTGCCTCCTGGATTCAAGCAATTCTTCTGCCTCAGCCTCCCTAGTAGCTGGAATTACAGGCACCTGCCACCACGCATGGCTAATTTTTGTATTTTCAGTAGAGACGAGGTTTCGCCATGTTGGGCAGGCTGGTCCTTAACTCCTGACCTCAAGTGGTCTGCCGACCTCGGCCTCCCAAAGTGCTGGGATTACAGGTGTGAGCCACCGTGCTCAGCAAAAGGCTCAATTTTGTTTCCAGAACTTCCTGAGCACTTGTGTCAATGCTTGGAGGAATGTGGCCGTGGGGGAATACGCTGACAGTTTATTGATTATTTTCTGTGTGACTCGACATTTTACTTGTCTTGACTTAATGACTCTTCACAAGTTATCTTCTGAGGTGGAAACTTACCGTTTCTGATTACAGATTAAGAAACTGGACCACAGAAAGATTACTTTGTTTAATGTTTCATTAAGTGGGAAACCAGGATTTTAAATTGCATTCACTGGAAACTGGAATAATTACTACCCTCCCAAAAATAAAAGTCCACACAGAAAGACAAAATGCTGAGATGCCAAAGGTCGTGGCACATGCAAGGAGCTGCTGCAGAAAAGCTGGTTGCAGAGACCAGAGGGTAGCGTGTTGTTAACTACTTATTTTATATAGCTGGGTTTTTTGTTTTTTGTTTTTGAGATGGTGTCTCACTCTGTCACCCAGGCTGGAGTGCAGTGGCGTGATCTTGGCTCAGTGCAACCTCTGCCTCCCGGGTTCAAGTGATTCTCCTGCCTTGACCTCCCAAGTAGCTGGGGTTACAGGTGCACACCACCACGCCCAGCTAATGTTTTATATTTTTAGTAGAGACAGGGTTTCACCATGTTAGCTGGGCTGGTCTTGAACTCCTAGCCTTGTTATTCGCCTGCCTCAGCCTTCCAAAGTGCAGGGATTACAGGCGTGAGCCACCACCCCGGCTATATAACTCCTCTTTACATTCCAAGATAGGGCTTTGCCTCTTCTAGACAAGGACAGATGGTAAGTTCAGTAGCAATTAAATCAGACATGCTATAAACACGAGAAGATTTTTACCTGCTTTCCTGAGAACATCCCCTCTTTCCACACCCAGCACCTCTGGCAATATCTGCAGAAGGGAAGCTCTTCCTAGTTCCTCCAGAGATAATGGCACATCTTCATCAGGTGCTACAGAGTGAAAACAGATACTTGCAATTTGGTTCATCCTTCAATTAGCTATTTCTGTTCCTTGTTATCTTTGGAGAGAACCAGAGATAGGGAGATGAACACCAGAAAAACTTACGACACTAAGTTCGTGATGTGTCATTAGTATATTCTAAAAGAGAAGTGGAAATGCTGCCATCCCGCGTGCCAGCCGGCACAACGGGAAGCCGGGAGGCGTGGATCGGACGCCTGCGTGAAGCGCCAAGCCCCGCCACTGCCTTGAACACGAGCTCAGGGCTGAGCCATAGGCTCTCTCAAAACCGTTTTGGTTCAAAAAGTCGGACTCTCCCTCATTTCTACTTATCTACTGCTGCTTACTGCCCTTCTGCTTTTAGATATTAGAGTGGGGAAATTGGAGTGAGAGAAGACATAAAGATTGTTTATTTTCTTCCTATAAAGCCAGTAGGATGACATCACCTCTTTCTTACTGAACCTCAATATTTCAATACAGTTATTAGAATCAGCTTCAAAATAATCTGTAAGGAACTCGATTGTGGCATTTCCTTTGTGAAAAGTGGCCGACCAGATGGAGTATAGAATGTATGGTAAGTGCGCATAAGATGTGTGGAACGGGCACTCCGGGGTGTGTTAAAGTGTGTGTGCGGTGTGGTAAGTGCAGCCCTGCCACTGTGCTGCAATTCAAGGCTGTGGGAGTCGGGGTGGAAGACCGCGTGCAGCATCGCCACTCCGCAGGCTTACAAATCACTGCAACCTGGATTGGAGGATGGGGAAGAGCTCATCATAAAGGCAGCTGAGCACATTCATAGCACGTCTGAAGAATGTTAATGAAATCTATAAAACTTGATCATCTGTAAGTGCTGATGTCATGAACGCTCATTTCTAGAGAAATAAATGAGAACAAATTCTGAGCTAAGCTGCCACTTGGTGGAATCTGAGTGAGATGCTACACTCATTTCACCTACGTTTCTTAAATTACGTGTAGATTTTTGAAGATGACAGTAATATCTGAATATTTTCATTTCTTATTTCATCTTGAGATGTGCACTGTTTCTTTGTAAGCAGCAGCCATTCAGTAATTGAATGCCTGTGTTTGACCATTAGAGGACCGCCAGCAATCATCTCAGTGACTTGGGAAGTTGATTGACAGTGCTTTATGACCGTGCCGGTAATCATCAGAAAGCTGCTTGGGATGAACTTTTAGAGGCTAGAAATTTAGAAACTCCATGGCTTAGAGGAGCGTTTTTTTTTTGTTTTGTTTTGTTTCTTTCTTTATTTAAAAAAAGTCTAGAAGGACTCAAGATTTAAGACAAGATTAAATCTAGTTCAGATTTCGATGGAGCCTAATACCCCAGCATTAGCCTTTTCATTTCTTAACTAAATGGAAAGATAATGGCAAGATGAGTCCTACTTGACTGATATATTTTTTAACTTAACTTAGACTTAAACTGAATTAACTTAAAAGGAAACGATCAACATACTTGGAAACCTATGAACTCCTAGCTCCCTAGTTTGTCATTTAAAACAAAAATTTAATGAACATTTTTGTTTCATGGAACACACATCAGATGATTTTTTTAACATAATATAAGGTAAAACAAATAAATCCATTATAAATCTATAATTAGAACAACCAGTGCTTCAGTCAGTTTATTTAAAGTAAAAACTAAAAGTAATAATGTTTTAAATTGCATGCAATTTTTAAAATTGGAAAAAAATTATATTACCCAAAGCAAGAGTCTGAACTACAGAGGCAACCTGAAACAAAATATTCTCCCTCTCCTCCTTTTACATTATAGAGAGGGAGAGAGAAAAAATAACTGTATGCATTTCTACATCTAAAACGTGTGGTGAGGATCCTCTAATATTCTTTTCAAAGCTGGAAGTACTGATAGAACAAGACCCAAAACCCCTTTGAGCAGGAATCCCATTCTTATCTCTAACGTTGAATTTAAGACCGGTGAAGGCTCTTTCAATAACACAAAGGGGAAAAAAATCTTACCTGAGAGCTGAAGGGATACTTCCCTGGAGTCAAGGAGAGGAAGAGATAAGAGAGGGTTTAAGAGTCCTATGAAGAGCAAACAGCAGGAGACCAGCTTATACATGATGGCTGCGAGATAGACTTCCTTCTTGGCTTCTTTTGTAGAGAACTCTCAACTTGCTCCTTCTCATTCTGCTCACTGATTATATATATCATCCTATGACCTCACATCATCCTCTCCAAAAAAATAAAATAAATTCATTGGCTATGGAGGCTAAAAGGCAATCACTTAGCATTGATGTAATTTTTCAAGGTAACAAGTCATAGACAATAAATTAACTGTCTTGTTGCCTAGTGTCCAAAGTAGGTATTATATAAAGAACAGTGAGTTTATAAATCTGGCAAAAAGAAGTAACTTACAGCAATAAATAATGAATTAAAGAAAGGATTGGATACGAGTTGAAGTGACCAAAGCAGAGAGATGTGGATTTACGAGTCCAAGCAGAAGTGACGCAGAGTATGACATGAAATACGTTGGTTTCCATTTTTTAATCTTTCATGAGTGTGTAGATGAGATGCTATGTTGTGTTCAGGGCTGCCATCCCTGAAAAATGACAATCTGTGGATTAAAACTTAAAACCAGCTATTTCCTTTAAAATAGGGAAACATTAGAATACGTAGCAAACATCGCTCAAGGCTCAAGACAATTCTGTACCTACACATGGCTTCGTGGGAAGCCACAAGCACTGGAGTCTTCTGAGAAAGGAAATAACTTCATAAAGTTGAATATTATTCAGCAAGGAGGGTTGAAGGACTTACCCCAGAAAGCTCACTGAGAAATATCTCCAGAATGTGGCCTCTACTCCTAACAGTATTCTGCCCTGGCTGCTCCAAGCCTGGATGGGTGGAAAGATCTCCTGACAGGCGTACTTAAGTCTGCCTTCAGGCCTGCACAGGCTCACCACAGCAGAGTGATGCCAGAAGCATCTGCATAAGTCAGATCACAGCAGTTCTTCACTCAAAACTTTCTGTGGACCTACACATAAAAGTTATGAAGATAGGCTAGGCACGGTGGCTCATGCCTGTGATTTCACCACTTTGGGAGGCTGAGACGGGAGGATCGCTTGAGCTTAGGAGTTCAAGACCAGCCTGGGCAACATAGAGAAACACTATCTCTACCAAAAATACAAAAATTAACCAGGTATGGGTACATGCCTGTATCACTTGAGCCTCGGAAGTTGAGGTTGTGTGAGCCAAGATTGCACCGCTGCATTCCAGCCTGGGTGACAGAGCAAGACCCTGCCTCAAAAAAAAAGTGGTTACAACGAAATAATAGAACTACTAGGGGAAAAAAACATGAACACCTTCACAACCTCAGGTTAGGCAAATATTTCTTAGACAAGACACAACCACACAGAAAAAAAAATTGAGGCAGGAGGAGTAAGAGATCTATTGTACTTCACCATGACTCTAGTTAATAACAGTGTATAGTTGAAGATTTCTAAAAATCGATTTTGTGTTCTCAACACAAAAAAATGCTGAGAATGTGAAGTGATAGACATGTGAATTAGCTTGATTCAGCCATTCCTCAATGTGTGCATGTATCAAAACTCCATGAAGGGCCAGGTGCAGTGTCTCACACCTTTAATCCCAGCACATTGGGAGGCTGAGGTGGGTGGATCTCCCGAAGTCAGGAGTTCAAGACCACCCTAGACAACATGGTGAAACCCCCTGCCTCTACTAAAAATACAAAAATTAGCAGGGCTAAATTAGCAGGTGCCTGTAATACCAGCTACTCGGGAGGCCGAGGCAGGAGAATTGCTCAAACCTGGGAGGCAGAGGTTGCAGTGAGCTGAGATCACACCACTGCACTCCAGCCTAGGAGACAAGAGTGAAATTCCATCTCAAAAAAAATAAAAAGGATGTATACTATAGATTCCATTGTTGTAAATCAGTACATAGATGGACAAAATCAATTAACTGGCACCTGGGATTGGAGATGGGGGGGGATTGATTACAGGGAGACAGGGGAGCTTTTGGGGGTAATGAAAATGTTCTATTTCTTGATCAAGGCAATGGCTATATGGATTTACACATTGGTCAAAACCCATCACTTAAAATGGGTGCATTTTATTGATGTAGAAAATCTCCACTGCCACCTCATTTCATGTTTGACCTCTCCTAATACTATTCCCCCCATCCCCACCCCAGCATCCTCCACTCCAGACATTCTCAACTCCTTGCTGCTCCATAAACATGCTTCTGCCGCAGGACCTTTGCAGTGGCTTACCCATCTGCCTGGAATGTGCCTTCCCTGACAGGTGCACAGCTACTCCCTCACCTTCGTCAAGTGTTTGCCAGACTATTCCCTTTACATGAGACCTTCCCAGGCCAACCCACCCCTATCCACTCTTGCCTTACTCTGAATTTTCCGTATCACAGCACCTTCTATCACATTATTATTATTATTACCTTTTTTTTTAAGACAAGAGTCTCACTCTGTCACCCAGGCTGGAGTACGATGGCGCAATCTCAGCTCGCTGCAATCTCTGCCTCCCAGGTTCCAGCGGTTCTCCTCCTCAGCCCCCCAAGCAGCTGGGATTACAGGTATGTAAGAGCATACCCAGCTAATTTTTTCTATTTTTAGTAGAGACAGGGTTTCACCATGTTGGCCAGGCTGGTCTTGAACTCCTGGCCTTAAGTGATCCACCTGCCTCAGCCTCCTAAAGTGTTGGGATTACAGGTGTGAGCCACCACACCTGGCCATTATTATTATTATTTTGAGACAGAATCTCATTCTGTCACCCAGGCTCAAGTTCAGTGGTATGATCATGGCTCAATGCAGCCTTGACCTCCCAGGCTCCAGCAATTCTACCTTGGCTTCCCAAGTAGCTGTAACCACAGGCACATGCCGCCACGCCCAGCTAATTTTTTTTCTTGGTACAACTGTGTTGCCCAGGCTGGCCTCGAACTCTTGATCTCAAGGGCTCCTCCTGCCTTAGCCTCAGCCTTCCAATACTCTGGGATTACAGGTGCAAGCCAACATGCATGGCTTTTTAAATTTTTTGTACAGACATGGTCTTGCTATGTTGCCCAGGCCGCTCTCACACTCACATTCCTGGTCTCAAGAGATTCTCATGCCTTGGCCCCCTGTAGTGCTGGGATTCCAGGCATGAGCCTCCACACCTGGCTACTGCACTATTTCATGTAGTTACTCTTCATAGTAGGCAGACTCAGTAAATCTTTGTTGAATCAGTGAGTGGGGCGCCAACCCTATGGGAGTCTCTGTTTAGGGGAAAGAACAGTGAATAAAACAAAAAGTTTCTACTTTCATGAATTTTTGGACTGGAAGGGACAGACAACAACATGAATATGTGCCATAGGAATTGTTTATTACCATGAAGAGCAGTGACAAGGAGACAATCCAGGGGGCAGGTGGTCAGGGCAGGTGTGATTTCAGACAGGGCCCTTGGGACACTCTGGGAGCAGATTCCTGAGACAGCAAAGCAAGAAAGTGAAGGTAGTCCCTGGTGGGGGGCCTGCTGCTGACAGTTGGGGAACCTTCCAGAACGCCCATGAATCGGACCTTAAAAAGTACTCTTACAAAATTGATCTTGGAAACCAGAGAGGGTTGGACAAAACTCCTGCCTTTAGCCCTCCTTAGAGTAAGGTGCACTCCTGATAAAGCCGGGTTCTCTCCTTTTGAAATTGTGTATGGAAGGGCACCTCCTATACTACCCAGGTTAAAGAATGCCCATTTGGCAACAATATTCCAGGGAAATCTCTTACGAGTACTTGCAGTCTCTCCAACAGCTGCAGGGCATCATCCAGCCACTTGTTTGGGGAGTACACCCTAATCTGGTTCCTGATCTCGCTGGGCCCTGCCACCCCTTCCAACCTGGTGACCTGGTATATGTCAAAAAGTTCCAGAAAGAAGGACTCACCCCTGCCTGGAAAGGGCCTCACACCATCACCCTCACCACCCCAACAGCCCTGAAGGAACCATAGGGTGGGGCCCACTCAGACTCTGTAGCTTTCACTGTGGAGCCACAAACTGGATTCTTAGACGCAAGCCTCTAAGGTCCCCACACACTCACACATGCACGCACACATGCACTCAGAGCTTATTACAGTCTTTTTGCACTTTGTAAACAGTTTAAACCCTGAAGAACTTTTTACCTCCTTTGTAAATATTTCAAATTGGACAGAAACCAGGGACTCTGTCCTCCAGCATCCTGGAGTAGCGACAGAGTCCAGAGGGATGGCCTCGTCAGGGCTAGACCCCTCCAAATCAGACAGTAGGACAGAACCAGGGACCCCGGACACCCAGAGTCCAAAAACAGACAGAACCAGGAACCCTAGACCCACAGAGTTCAAAGACAGCACAGAATCAGGAACCCTGGACACCCAGAGTTCAAACACCAGAACCAGGTCCAGAGACTCTGGGGCACCCAGAGCCCCAGGTCACAGGAATCGCTGTAGTCAATTCCAGTGTCCCAGTAACTGGGCGAGCCCCGTAACTTCCAGAAATAACCAGGTCAGGCCTGACTTCCCTTCTCCGTGGAACAGGACCAGAGACTCTCAAGAATAATTTGGTGAAGCGCACCGGGAGTCGATCCACTCTCCTCTGGCAAGGAGTGGCCTATGGGGCCCTGGAACGTCTCAGGGGGCACCTCCCCTAGAGTCTACCTCCTCCCCTGGGGGAGCCTGGAACAAGCTGGCTCTGCACCTGGTGGCAAAAAATACAAATAAGAATTAGTAATTATTTCTGGGTACTCCAAATGTTATATCTGAGTGAGTTAAAAAGGAATGTGCCACAAACTAAGTTCCAGTTAAGAGTCCTTTATTAATTAGCCGGCGACCAAGAGATGGCAAACACTCAAAATTCTCTCAGCTCGAGGAAGGGGCTTGATTATCTTTTATACCTTGATTTAGGTAGGGGAGGGGAGTACCTAGCTGAAGCAGAATTTTACAGAAGCAGAAAAGCAGGTTAGAGGAAGGGGCTGCAGGCACAGGTGGTTTCCATACAATTCAATGATCAAAGAAAAATGGGGGTGATCAGGCTCCTTTTACACAATGATCAAGGGGAAACATTTTCCTTACAATAGCAGGGAGGAGGTATGCCAAGCAAGACACAGTACAATGGTTACAAGTGTTAAAAACAGTACACTTCAATGCTTCTAAGTGCAGCATGACCCAGCCATGCACCCAAAGGGGCTGTAGTGAGGAGGGGGAAGCCAGGTTGGAGTTTACAGCAAAGATGGAGTCAGTGATGCTAGCCCAGGGTGGCTTATTACAAGACCCGCCTGACCAACATAGTGAAACCCTGTCTCTACTAAAAACACAAAAATTAGCTGGGCATAGTGGCAGGGGCCTGAAATCCCAGCTACTCAGTAGGCTGAAGCAGGAGAATCACTTGAACCCAGGAGGTGGAGGTTGCAGTGAGCAGAGATCACATCACTGCACTCCAGCCTGGGTACAGAGCAAGACTCTATCTCAGGAAAAAAAAAAAAAAGAAGAAAGAAAACAGCTGGGCGCAGTGGCTCACGCCTAGAATCTC